TCACACTTAGAAGTTGAAAATGAAGCACAATTTAATGCAGAAAACACCATTTACCCTATTATATAATGATATTGTAGTATCTCCTCTGGAAATTGTGATGAAACCACTTTTTTTAGCTTAAGGATTGGAAACTTGAGCTATGGATATATATCAAATTAATATTTTGATATAACTGGTAATTTCAACATTAATAAAGGAAAATTATGTAAGCTTGGCCTTCTTTATATTATACCTGACTGATAAAGAGGTTGTATGTATTCATACAAGAATAGTAATTGATACAAAAATTAAGAATGAAATATCCTTATAAATAGATATAAACAAAGTACATGTGTTTAGGTATAAAAATGTGCATGATGAGATTTGGATTGTCTTAAAATGCCACAATCTCCATAACATACTGAAAAAGTTTGCCTTGAAGTAAACAGTTTAAAACAACTCAAAATAATGCCTTAGGACCCCAGTACTGAGTCATCTATGTTACATGTTACTGAAGAATTGGCAAGATTATTTGCTGTATTAAATGGGGAAAATGTTCTAAGTTTTAAATTATTTTATACCATTTATGCATTTAAATAAAAGTATGAAATTAAATTTTAAAGAAGGTTGTCTTGTTTCCTTTTAAAAAAGAAAGCAAATAAAGAATTTAGAAACTCCCCTCTCAGTGTAACAGTGAGAGGAACATATAAATAGTTCACTATACACCAAAACTAGTCTCCTACCTACCTTCACTAAAGCTCTAGGACATTACCAATGTCTTGAAGCTAAATGTACGATCCTAATTTAATATATTAATGATAAAACTCACAAACATTATATGTATGCAAAATCTATTCCAATACCCTTTCAAGCTGCTCTCCATCCTTATCTAACCAATTGATTTTGGCATAGAAAGAATAAATTTTAATGTTAGTTCAAAAAACAGATTTAATAAAGAGATGAATCACTTTTAAATCATACCAAATTTCTCTACATTGGTATATTTTTGCAGTTTTTTCACTTCCTCTTTCTCAGCACATTTCTTAAATTCTTCAGTAAAGTGCTGTCAGCACCATGGATTTAATTTTCTGTATTTTTTAAGTGTGTTAAAACATTGGTGTTTCACAAGTATTTGGAAATGGAGAGATTTTTTTTGTAAATAAATCTAATGGACTATTTCAGTTCAAACCTGAGGTAAAAATGTAAATTGTGGCAATTTTTTGTCATGTCTTGGAGTTCCATTTTGTAGACAAGAAGAGTTCCAAAATCACTGTAAATTTTTAAGAAATAATTTAATCTTTTAGAAAATGATTTTAAGTAGAAAATTCAATTTGCTATAAATGGGAACATATATAGTTCATAAAATGTTTTCCTTTCATAAACTATAATAGCTATACTTGGTCTTCATACACATATTTACACTATGAATATTAAGTGTTTCATCATGACAAAATAGAATTCATGCATATAGACATATAGATGCATATATATTATAGATATAATATTATACCATCAACATAAATATATAACATTGTGGGCTGGGGGTGTGGCTCAAGCGGTAGCACGCTTGCCTGGCATGCGTGCGTCCCGGGTTCGATCCTCAGCACCACATACAACAAAGATGTGGTGTCTGCCAAAGGCTGAAAAATAAATATTGAAATCCTCTCTCTCTCTCTCAAAAAAAAAACAAAAAAACAAAAAAACAAAAAAAAAACCTTGCAGCTGAGTGGTACCTGATCCCCCAAACTAAAGGGTCAGCTGCAAGTTTCTAAAAAAAATAAAAAATAAAAAATAAAAAAATATTATAACATTGTGTAAAAATGATTTGCCTTTATCTTAATTTTTGTGGAAAGTATATATGGTTCAAAGGAATACCTAATTGCATGAGATGCTAAATGAAGTATGGTAATTAAAACCCCATAGAACAAATGTAAGAAAGATGATTCTGGACTTGTTTGTTTAAGTGATTTAGTGAGGTAATTGTTGGGAATCCTGTTATACAGAAAGCTTAATTTACATTTCAGCTTCTTGAACTACACCAGTGAACTTTAGTTCTTGGCTCTCTGGTAGAAGTATTCAAAACTAGGGTTAGGAGTTTCTCTTAAATAAACCTAGACAGGTACTCAAGGCACTAATTTTGTGTCTGACTTATTTCACTATTTGTACAATCATAGAAAATAAATACTATATGTTTTTGAAAGATAAAAAGGATGAAAGCAGAATTCAGAATATTTTGATAGTAATTATGTAAATTATTTTTATTTAATGGGAGAGCAGAGATATGGTCATTTTAAATAATTATCCTGTTTATGGACCAAACTCCAGCCTAAGCATATATCAATTAATCATATCTTCACTAATATAACATATAGGTAGCTTGAAGAAGACGATGACGACTCCTCCTCCTCCTCCTCCTCCTCATTATTATTATTATTATTATTACCAGATAATGAATTCAGGAGCACTTGACCACTCAGTCACACCACCAGCTCTATTTTGTATTTTATTTGGAGAAAGGGTCTTACTAAGTTGCTTAGTGCCTCGCTTTTCCTGAGGCTGGCTTTAAAGTTGATATCTGCCTGCCTCAGCTTCCCCAGCCACTGGGATTATAGGCATTTGCTACTGCATGGTTGTTGTCTAAAAACATTACCAATGTTTTTATCTTAATTATCATCTTAATTTTATTTTGTGAAACAGAATTTAATCAGTTAATATTTACTAAGGATTTACTAAATGTCCTGTTTTATTCTCTATGCTTCCAAAAATTAGAGATACGACAACAGTTTGGAAAACTGATATTCTCACTAGTCAATGATCATTTCAACACTTATAAATAGTTTCACATACCAAAAAATATAAATCATTTCTTTTATTACTAAGTGTTTAAATACTTTTTAAAATAATTCAGTGTCTGCTAATATCAGATAATCTGAGGTGAGTTATGCTTGATATTTAATTATTAAAATTAGACCATTTGGGGGTTGTGGTTCCATGGTAGAGCACTTGCCTAGCATGTGTGAGGCACTGAGTTCATTTCTCAGCACCACATATAAATAAATAAATAAAATGGAGATCTATCAATAATTTAAAAAATTAGACCATTTAAAAAATAAAGACTGTGGACTTGTGGCTCAGTGGCAAAGTACTTGTGTAGCATGCAGTAAGCCTTGATTTCAATTCCTAGTACCATATTGGTTTTAGATGTTTTTAAATTATTTTTATTGTTCCCATCATTAAAAACACAATGAAAAAAGAAAATACAGACATTACATTAGCTTATTCAAATGAAAAAGTAATAATATAGTTTCTAGGGGGGATTATATAACAATTAAAATAATATTTTAGATCATATAATTTAACATGAATATGCTGTTAAACCATCAACTAAAATCACCAAATCTAAACAATAACCTATTAATACTTTTCATTATATATATATTAATTAACTTATTAACCCAATTCTAAGCTGTCATATTAACTTGTTCTTATTTTAAGCAAATAGTCATGTGGCTCATTAGAAGAAAAAAATGAATTGATTTCCTATTAAGATCATTGACTCATTGAATTTTTATAGTGCCAATGTAGCAATTAATGTAAAAAATAATTCATATACAGAATTTATGTTGCAGAATCTGGAAGATTCCATAAAAAGCTGACATGTAAAACAAAAACATTTGTTATATTTGTTTACAATATTATTATAAGTATATCCTTTACAAAATAAAATGGCATTTATTATTTTCATAAAATTACTTTTATCTGAAAATAAATATAATACTATAGCAATGAAATTTTGAAAATTTGTTCATATTTCATATCAATAATGTTTTACACAGATAACTTTGAGGTATCTAGTGTTAGCAAAGATTAATTTTATTTCATTCATAAAAAGAAATATATTAACATTGTATTTTTATCTCACTAAAAATTAACTTATATCAATGTTTACAGCAGCTCAATCGAAAATAACTAAACTATGGAACTAACCTAGGTGCCCTTCAAAACAGATGAATGGATAAAGATATTGTAGTATGTATGTATGTATGTATGTATGTATATATATATGTGTGTATATATATATATATATACACACACACACACACACACACACACACACACACACAATGGACTATTACTCAGTCTTAAAGAAGAATGAAATTATGGCATTTGCCAATAAATGGATGGAAATGGAGAAAATTATACTAGGTGAAATAAGTCAATCCCAAAGAACCAAAGGCCCAATGTTTTCTCTGACATGCGGATCCTAATTCATAATAAGGGGCATGGATAGAGATACTGTGGATTAGACAGCAGGAAGTAAAGGGAGGAGTGAGGGTATGGGGGTACTACATTAGAATTAGTTGTACATTTTTACCCCATGTGTACATATGATTACATGACCTGTGTAATTCTACATCATGTACAACCAGAAGAATGAGAAGTTGTTTATGCTCCATTTATGTATGATGTATCAAAATACATTCTATTGTCATGTATAACTAATTAAAACAAATTATTTTTTAAAAAATACAAAAAATAAAAAATAAAACAATTAGTTAAAATGAGATTCCTCCAAGAGATGTTTATTAAGTGAAGAAAGACACAAGCTTAATATAGAAAATGTAAATATACAGCTAGACAACAAGTATTAGTTTAAAATCTTCCATATAATATTAGTCTTTTTGGAAAAATGTATTGGAAAAACTTACTTGCAATCAGATTATACTCACTTTAACGTATTATATACAATTGCCTTCCTCACCAATTAGTTCTATAAACCTTCTTAAATTATTCATATTTGCATTAAAATATTCTACCACATCACATTTTCTACCAATGGACACAAGTTGAATTTACCCTAATAATTTGCTTAGTATTAAGAAAGAATGAAAAAACAAATTCCCTTTAATTTAAATTTGTATTCAAGTAGTGCTTGTCTAATATAATTCAGCTGATAAATATGAACCTATGTGTTTATCAAATCCCTAAGAAGATTATCTAAATCAACTCCATGTAATTACCATTCGCCATCTGTTCCACCAGGGTCTGAGCTGATCTGCTGGCATCTTGCAGTTTTCTGAACTTCTCGGCTTTTTCTCGATCTATGGCCTGCAGCATGATAGCAAAGGTGAGTATTTCAATACAAGGATTGTGAATCTACACAGTAATTATAACTTCTATTTGCCCTTTCAAGCCATAAGATATTTCACTGTCAGCTTATTGCAGAAATCAACAGATATTTTTCTCAACTCCTTTGTCACCAAAAGCATCAAAATGGCAGTAAAAGCAAAAGACATTTTCATCCTGAATTGCTATTTTTAATAAGATTTCTATTTTCTAAACTTATTTTTGTAATTATTTCTGATACATCATAATGTTATACTACTTAAAAAGAAGGAAGTAAAAGGGCAAATCATAACAATGAAAGACAAAATATTAGATAATTAAAATGAAATTAATCATTTAAAGATATATCACTGATACTAAATATATTTCTGTTTTCAGTAATAGTCAAATTAAGAATCCACTAATATAGAAAAAGTATAAAGTGCTATAAGTATGAATAATTTAGCATAAAAATAGATTTAAATACAAGACCTTAGGCTAATATTTTTATGTAAAATAGCCTACATACTCCAATTTCCAGGAACATTGGGTTCAGTTTGAAAGAACTTTCTAAATTCCTTTGTTCATCCCTCCTAATCACAGTTAACTTTTAAACAAAAGTTACAAAATTTAAATCAACAAAAAATAGTATTGGGGCTGGGATTGTGGCTCAGCAGTAGAGCTCTCGCCTAGCACAGGTGGGACCTGGGTTCAATCCTCAGCACCACATAAAAATAAAGGCATTGTGTTATGTCAATCTACACCTAAAAAATAAATATTAAAAAAATCTATTAAAAAGTAGTATTGTATACCATTGACTTTAGCTAATATTTCAATTTTTAAACCAAAATGCAGAACTCTACACTACTATACTCATAAAAAGATGTGTCTATAACATATGTCATATGTTTTAAATCATAACCACTAACAGAAAAGAAAGCTACATTGCAATCTGCATATAGTAAGAACAATAATCTCTGTGATAAAATAATAGTTATAAAACTGATTTTACTTGAGTTTGAGTAAGGACTATTTTTCAAAATCATATTCGTACTTACAGGCATTTAAACAAATATTACACAGTATAATACTGGAGTATATGTGGGAGGGGGTATAATAGACACATGCACACTTGCAGCATTGTTGAACAGAAACTTATGCAAGGAAGGAAATGTGCAATATTTGTTTTGTCCAGTATGGAAGCCAATAGCTACATGTTGGTACTGAACACTTAAAAGTCAGCCAGGATGACAGAGGAAATTACATTTTAACTTAATTTTATCTAATGTCATTTCATTAATTTAAATTTAAATATCTACACATGACCAGAGTTAACTGTAATTGTACAATGCAGATTTTGTGTCTTTCATTTGAAATCAAATAAATATAAAGTTATGAATGTAAATATCAAAAATATGGCAGTATCAGAAATACTTCCATAGAAATAAGCATTCATCTAGACTAGCCTCTTTCCCAAGCAAATAAAAGGATGTATAAAATATTAAAGTTTAGAATAATTGAAGAATGAAATGAAACATAATGTGATAGCCTTATTTTTAATAACGACATCCCAACTGAAAAATACATATTTTATATTATACTGTGAATAATAGCAAAAGAAAACACTTTTTTCCTCACAAGTCAACAAATTTTGAAGGTGATAGGCAAATTTTAGTATCTTGGATTCTGCTTGAAACTTTCAAAGTACACAGGTTGCATTGGTATTTGATTTTATGATCCCACAATCTCATTCTAATCAACAGGCTAACATTCTGGATTGTCTTGAAATTCACTTTCGAAAGTTAGTACTGAATTGTTTCCACAAACATGCAGACAGATATGGTAGGTTCCAACTGGCTAGTTGAACTGAAAATTCCATGAAAATAAGGCAGCCACAAACAACATCCAGTTAAAGCCCAAAGAAGAATATAAAATTCCTATTTCCTCAATTCCTTAACTTTTGAGTTCTAACTTCCCTGTCCTTAGCATTGAATTGGCACATTTTTTAACACTTAACATATTCCCTGTTAAAAGGTAAATATAATTCCCCAAGAACTTTAAACCAGTTTATTAGAGAAAAATGAGCATATTCTAAGTAAATCTATAATATTTACATCTCTTAAAAACAAGAAGATGTGGGTATTCTTTCTTTTAACTACATTGGGAAATAAATCAGTGAGAAAAAAAATACTAATGCCATAAGTGAACAAGGCAAATAATAAAAAAAAAAAATGGAGTCAGCTGGTATTCTTTGAATTGCAAGTTAGAGTTTCTCTTCTCAGAATGGTTTATATTTTATGTGTTTTGGGTTTTCTTATGTTTTACATGAAATTACATAAAGGGAAGACTCAGAACACCATCTGGTCTTCATAAACAATGACAATAAATTAACAATGGCTTTTTAAATGCCATGATCATATTCTCTTTATTCTAAGCATCTGATGAGATAACCAAATAGTAATGCTAACAGCCAAACTTTGAATATCTCATGGATAATATTTGAGCTTAAATATCTTGTTCTGTTGACCACGTTAGTCCAGTAATTCTAATACATGTAATAACAATAACAACCACCACCATGATAAAATAACAATCTATGGATCTGTTACTATTACTCTCCCATTTTCATAAAAGAAGAAAGTGAGGCACAAAGAAACTTATAGAAAATTTGAAAACTTCAGAATAATCATGTTAAAATGAAATTTCTTACTGTTTTTTTATAGGTATGATTTTAAATGCATGTCATAATAAGTGTGAGGAAGAATGAGCCAGCATTATGTTATCTAATATTATATAAGAAAAAATGGGGCATCAAAAAAATTGAATCACAGATCAAAGGACACACAATTGAAAAGTTTTAGGTCCAATATTAGTACCATGCTCCTCCATTTCAAATTCAGGTTTCTTTCAAACATAATCTATTGCTTCTAGGGATGTTTCATTGGGAAAAAAAAGAAAATCAAACAGACTTGAGCCTAACAGGACACAATTCAGCAAGGGTGAGTTTTTAGTTTGAAGGTAGTTAGGAATATTGAAATAATTGAGGCATTATTAATTCAGCATGGACCCCAAAATAACAGAAGGAATGCCTGACTACTCATAATGGACACTGACAGTCCACAGGCTGATTACCAGGCCCTATACACTTCAATTACCTGGCTGCATTATTAGATGTATATTATTTGCAAACCACATCACTGGTGCATATATAGAGACAAAGGCCCTGGAAAGAAGCAGGGAATGCACTTTTAATATCTATGTGCAGATGATATCCTCATTATGTTATCTATCAACAGGAGAATCCCTTCATAGAGGAGTATTAGAAAATGAAGAAGAATATGGTCACAAATATGCCTTGAATAGTGCAAAGGGTCAATGGCAATTAAGAGTCCAGCAAATATTTCATTTCAGATACAGTTGCAGATGGTCAATTAAAAATAATCAATCATAGGGTAGCAAGAAGTTGGTAAAAAAGGTAATGAAAAGAAATGTTTTGGAGAACTGTTTTTTTCCCTCACTTGAATTAAGTTCTGTCTACATCTATCTATTAGATGTTTGTCCTTAACAAAGTGATTCAAACTTTCTGATCCACATGTTTTTTTTCCTTTAAGAGAGAGAGAGAGAGAGAATTTTTAATATTTATTTTCTAGTTCTCGGCGGACACAACATCTTTGTTGGTATGTGGTGCTGAGGCTCGAACCGGGCCGCACGCATGCCAGGAGAGCGCGCTAGCGCTTGAGCCACATCCCCAGCCACGCCACAATGTTTTCTGTGTAAAATAATAGAATACCTACCATCCAGAACTTCTGAGGGGACTAAAAAAGGCTCTTCACATAACTTATTTTTTAAAGAAAGAAAATTTTCACAGTAAAATGTCAAACTAGGAATTATTAAGCTGATACAAATGTTGTGACATAAACTGAAACAGTATCAGACAAATGACAATATGTACTTGTTCTCATTAAAAATCATCTTCATAATCTTAGAATTTCAGGAATAACTTCTGACATCAATATCTGATTAAAACACCTGACTTACAAAAATGTGTAAGAAGTGTCCAAATAACCACATTTTAAGTGTTAACAAAATTGATTAAATAAACATCACTGAAACTGCTTTCTCTTGGGATAGAACCACACAGGTATTTGACTTCAAATGAAATATATGGAATTCTGTTTTAAAATAATTTAGATCAGTAGTTCCAAATGTTTCTACTTTCTCTCCTTTTTTACAGAAACATGCATTAAAATACAGAAAATGTAAAAGTAGAGTCACATCACACAACAAACAAAAACAAAGACTGATGAGAAATACATTGTTGGAAAAAGAAGGATATATGCTTTCCTTTAAAGAATTATGTGCCATCAGGGAAGACATTGGCCTTCTAACGATCTATGTTGCACAGTAAAAACTGGTTTGACACCAAAGCAAACCAAACACAAAAACAAAGTAATTTAGTCCTCCTGCATATTCCCTTATTTATTCCCATCAAAATTACTATATCAAAGTCAACGCTTACTTCCAGGTTACTATAGTCAATGGCTGATTCTCAGACCTCAGCTTACTTATCATAATTTGATTCAGAGAATTCCATTTTCTTCTTGAAAGTATTTATTAAGTTAGCTTGTTGGACCACATGCACACAGTTTTCCTCTAACCTCAAAAGCCACCTATATTCATTCTCCCTGATTGGTTCTGAATCATCTCCCTAAATTCTAGATTTGGAAATTTGGAGTATTCTGAGACTCAATCCATTTGTTCAGGCAAAATAAAAAGCAGAAAAAAAAAAAAAAAACCACTGCTCAGGAAGTTAGAATCTTTCTTGAATGCTCTCTTTCTTCCAAACCTCACAAAAGGATCAGAAATACTCTTGGCTTGGGTTGATGATGGAGCTCAGGGGTAAAGTCCTTGCCTCAAATGTGCAAGACCATAGGTTCCATTCCTAGCACTGCAAAAAAAATCCTGTTGTCTCCAATCTCCAAACTATCCAGAAAGAGATGTTA